AAAACGACAACGAATAAAGATTCCGCCTAAGAAACAGCAGAACAAGAAAACGATTTGCTTATTTGGCCATTCGATTTCTCGGGCGGCGGAAAATCGAATCTACGAAATAAAATAATAAATCTGGTAAATTCTGTTTTTTTTTTCATTTTCGTTTCGTTCTCATTTTCCGAGATTTTTTATATCGTAAATCCGTAAAGGTTGTCCGGAGTGAAACGGGGCTGAAGGGACGGTGAATTAAGACTCCTTGCGAGGCCCTTTTAAGGAAATGATCTGATTAGCTCTTGTCAGCATGGAAGAGATATGAGGGATTAATTGGGTTAATCAGTTACTTAATTGGGATTGTAACTGTGTTAATTAATCTCCATTCATGTTAATTCAATTTCATTTCATCCACATTATTTCTTATGAAAAGATATAAGGGAATAATTAAATTAATCAATTTTATTTCGTCCACATTATTCCATACGAAAAAAATGCATAAAACAAGGAATAACGGAGTTAAACAAATCTCATTTTATCCACGTTATTCCACATGAGAAATATATAAGAGTTAATAACTGAGTTAATCTTCTTCCATCCCCGTTATTCCGTGGTTTCTCTCAGGGTACGTGGTTTCCATGATTTTCCTCAGCGGCCTCGTCTTCGCCTTCCGCCTCGACTTGCCAATAAGCAACGGATGATTTTTCTTCATTCCTCTCGAAGGGAAAAGGGCGAACTATAAATAAAAGCGGCCGAAGTTTAACGGCCAACTCGCACACATAAGGAAAGCACGGGGACATAAACTGCCAAATAAAAAAATTCACTTTTCGAACCCACAGAGATAAAGGTATTAGGTTCGGCGCGCCGTCAAGGCCGCTCGGGAGTTTTGCCTTATGGCCTCATCGCGGGTCTCGGCGCCAGCTGACCGCGGGCTCGACGTCGGGGATGTTAAGGCAATCAATCAACGTCTTAGTAATCACACGGCGTTTTCAAGTTTGGTTCATTATGTTTGCGAAATGCGTTTGTAAGAAAAAAATACTTCTTCGTCCTTAAGATACGCAAACACTTTTTTTTTTGCCATTTCATTAAATAAAATAACGTTTCTGTTACACGAAAAAATGAAATGAGTTTTCTGCCTCCTCCCTACCTGTGAGAGAGTCCTCGGAGAAGGTCGAGCCAAGGCTGGTGTTGCTAAGGCTCTGCGTCAAGGGTCGGTGATAGCTGTTGTCCAAGTCCTTGAGGAACAGCAGGTTCTCCTTCTCGAAGTCGCTCAGTTCCCGCCCGGTGGCGTCGGTGTGCGTGTCGGGCGAGGTCTCGCTGCTGCCGGGGTACGTGCTACCGGCGCTGTTGAAGCCGTCGCTGTAGGGGCCGTCCGAGTGCTGCAGGATCTGGCCCAGGCTAATGCTTCGGCGGTAGCGAGGATACTCGTGGAGGGAGGACGAGCTGGATCGTCCGTCATCTTGGTTAGAGGCGGCCTCGGACGCAAGGGCGAGTCTCGGGAGCGTGAGCGTGTCCCTCAGGGATCGCCTCTTGGAGGAGGCGCTCTGCGGGCATGTGCAAGTCAGCCCTGAGGAATCCTGCAGAGAAGAAAACGGGCGTTAACATCATCGGAAGAGAACGTGGGTTGAACGAAGGGTAACTACTGTAAAGTCCCTTCTAGTTTAACGTTGTGTTTATATTTGGATATCTTTTATATATGACCTAATGTTATTGAAATTTGAAAATGTTTTACAAGCTGTACACGTATGATGGCAAAATTCAGGTTAATCAATTCAAACTACTTTTACTGAATGATAAAACACATTAACAATATGCAGTAAATATAATCCAAAAAAAGTGGTAATATAATCCACAAAAAGTGGTAATATACCAACGTTCATGCCATGATACCTAATATTATAAATATCAAGACAAAAAATCGTTCTAAAGAAAACCAACCACGTGATAATCTCATGACTACACCACTGCACAGAGTATATGCCAATACCAGCCATTCAAATGCGTCACCATTTAGTATTCATCTTTTTTATATCTCGTTCACATTGCCATCATAAACTTATTCCACCTTCAGTAGAAGAAAAAGGTTAACACCAAAATAAGGACACTGCACAGACCCGAACAGCCTCCTCCCTCCCTTCCCGGCCCCCGCCCCACCGACCCCCTATCCACCTTCCTCCCACTTACGTAATCGGCCGAGTTCCTCCGGCGTCGAGTGAAGTACTTCTTGATGGCGAGCATGACGGTGGACATGAAGAACACAACGAAAACGGAGAACGGGAGGAGGAAGAGCACGAGGTCGAGGCTGCACAGGTCCCCGGGATGGCGCCAGGGCATGCTACACGCCCCTCGACCTCAAGGTGCCCATCGCGGCGCCTCCTCCTCGGGTGACACAGGAGACGCAACACTTCGGTCTTCGTTTTTATTTCTAATATGCCTGATTGACTCGTGCACTCCAGGTCTTAGGTCTGCGTTTCGTTGTGTTGCGTTTCCTGTTTTGCGTTCTGTGCGATCCACTAGAATGTCCCACTGATGGAATGACGCAAAGGGTGAAAATCACTTTTGGAAAGGAAACGCGGCAGATTCACTCTTGGTTAACAGGGGTGGCGGAGGCAGAGAACTTCATTTGCGTTTTCAAGTCATAAGGATATATGTTTGTCGATTTTGATTATTATTCTCTAAAAAGTGTGGACTTCGGTAAACACAAGTAACCATATATATGAACACAAACACATTAACGTGTACACAAAGATGAAAAAGAAAACAGCCACAGTAAGAACTGAAAATAAATGTTCCGTTTCGAACTCTTCACAAGTTCCCTTTCAAACGAATAATTAACCAAAATGGATAAAGGTCGTCTGGCGAGAAACTCGTGAGGAGTTCGAAACGTAACGTTTATTTTCAGTTCTTACTGTGGATGATCTTATTTTCATCATATGTATGTTCTTTATACGTCAGAAAAATAACTACAGTGTCTGACACCCAAAAATTGAACTTGAAGACACTCTTGCAAGGCAAAAAAATTGCTACAATAAATAAAAGCAAAAATAATGTGATTATTTTATACGATTTCCCGAAGCCTTTTTAGCGAAGGAACTCAGAGGCGACTTAAGCGCCTCACGCCAGACTGCGCCGCGGGATGGCCTCGGGCATCCGGGCATCACGACGATAAGGAAGCCCCTGGCCTAATGCCACATGACCTGCCAAGGGCGACGCTTAATGAACTCCGTGCTGAGGTGCCGCGAGTTATGGCTCGTTCTGCTGCTCCACATGCTTATCAGGGGCTGTTTGTGTCGAGGTCGCTGATTGGCTCCTCGTTCCTCGCAGACGCTTCGGTGGTCACGTGGCAACGGCCAGACCCCCCCCCCCCCCATGCGGCCGCCAAATGAGACCTATCTTTGATGTTACCAAGTTAGTGTTGCCATTGCACAGCCTCGGAAGCAGCGGGAGACGGGAGATTTGTAGCTGCGAAGTCCGAGGGCGAGCGCGCTTCCCATCTGTCGTTCTGCCATACATCTCAATCCCATTTATTATTTCTTTTATATAACGCATGATTAACGTGATGCCCCGTCGAGACAAGGAGCCCTCAATGCCGCGCGACTCGAGCATTTAAGCCGGAGTGGGCACGCCATCCATCACCCAAGAGCCAGGGCATGGGCGGGGCACAGTCCGCCTAGCCCAGGGAAATATATCATACACGATCCATCCGCTGCCACGCTGGGAGGGTCTCCTTACCGGGCCGCTCCCCGCGTCCATCACTCACTCGCTAACGCCTCCCTCCCTCCCTCGCGCCTTCTCACTGACCCGCTGATTCAGCCCCTCCCTCACCCGCCCCACCTCCCCTCACCCCAACACTCCGCCACTCCACTGTGCTCCCCGCCCGTATAAGTCGAGAGACTCCTGCGTCCTGCGAGTCCTCCTGACACCCAAAGGACACCACGATTCGAGTCTTCCTTTTGTGTCCCGCGACCAGCAGGAGGAGAAGCCCCCCTCCCCCCGCTCTCGTGCCCCCTGCCCTCACCCCGCGCATAAGGCTAACTGCCCCATTAACACTGTCGCGTTGTCTCGTGTTCTCAGAGAGGACGATCGTGTACCCAGAGTGCCTCGAGCCCCAATGTCTTTATTCGCATCAGTGCCCACAACGCCAAGCGCACACTCGATGCGTTTTCTTTATTTCTTTCTTTCTATTTTTATTTCTTTTTACGCATCACACTAAAAACTACACAAGTCAACAGAACATATAACTGAATTCTTCGATGTGATATTTTTTTTTTTCTTAAGACGTTCTCTCGGGCATGAAGTCATGCAGTCAGACCCTCGACGGTTTCTATTCCTTCTTGCTCGAAGGTGTTTCTGAATGCTGCACGTACTCGTTCAGGATTTGAGAGTCCAGGAAAGTACACTAATCCATTAATATATTTTTGTGGCGCTTGCTAGGCGAAACAAAGACAAAAGATGCATATGATAAGGAAGACAATAAGATAAAATGTGTGAAGAAACTAATGCGACATCATAACTGAAAATGAAAAATGGAAACTAAAATAGAAATCAGAACTGAAAATAAATTTAAAGGTATATACTAGACAAACAATGAATTCAAAACATCCTCCACATTTATTGTACTAGAAAAAACTAAACTTGTAGACGCAGCAAAACCTGTCTTAAAGAGCATTTAAACTCTTGATCCTCACCACCGTCAGCACTTTTCCCTAAGCCTGTCTGATTTCATTCTCCAACACCCTCTAAATTTTCTTTCTGCCTTTCACGCTCTTTAATTCACCCACAAAAAGCAACCCAAGTAATATACGCTTGTCTGATTTCATTTTCTAACACTGGTTCGATTTTCATAAATCTTTACACGCTCTTCCAACCCACCCAAACAAAAAACAACCAAGTGTCTATATTTTCCTGATTCCCTATTTCTAACGCCATCCAGCTTTTCCCATTGCTTTACACGCTCTCCAACGCACCTTCACATTATCAAGTGTCCATGCTTGTCTGGCTTCATCTTCCACGCACTCTAAGCAACGTGGGCGTCCACCCGAGGGTCTCGGGCCCCGCGCGGACAAGCCATCGGCAACGAACAGAGGACATGGTGAAGAATGGCGATCTCAGTGCATTTTCCCTCTTATTCTCCTTCGCCTTGCACTTCTTTTTCTTTTTCACTCTCTTTTCCCCTTGTCCTTCTTCTTCTTCTCCTTCTCATTATTATTATTATTACTACATATTATCATTTTTATAATCATGATTATTGTGATCATTACGATAATTTTTATAATTTTCATTATCATTACCATGATCAATATTACTACTAATGCCATCCTTCCTCCTCATCTCTATCATCCTATTTTCACGCTCAGAGATACAAAGATCCTCGAGGAAAACACAGCAAGGTCAAGGACTCGTGGCTGACTCACGCTCGGGATCGTCTGTTCCCGGAAACAACCCGTCAGGTGAGAGCGGAGGATATGAGAGAGAGAGAGAGAGAGAGAGAGAGAGAGAGAGAGAGAGAGAGAGAGAGAGAGAGAGAGAGAGAGAGAGAGAGAGAGAGAGAGAGAGAGAGAGAGAGGAGAGAGAGAGAGGAGAGAGGGGGGGGGGAGAGAGAGAGAGGGGGGAGAGAGTGCAACAAGGTCAAAGACAGACAGAGTCCGGGAGATAAACAGACAGAGAATACCGAGAGAAGAGAGGGCTTCAGAAACTCCGTAGCTCAGGGTCACGGGGTCGAATGGCCACAGGTCATGACACCCAGCTTATAACAGTCACGATTTGAATAGCCAAATGCGGAAGGCACGGGGAGGGAGACTGGGCGAGGGAAGAGAGAAAGGGAGAAGGGGCAGCGGCGACAGGAAGAAACAAGGAAGAGAAGGAACAGGGAGAAATAAGGAGGGAAAGGATGTGTGAAATGAGGGAACAAGGAAAACGCAACAAATACAAGTGTGAAGAGTAAGATGTAAACAAAGAATTTGGAATCAGAAAATAGGAAAAGTATATAATGAAAACTGAAACGGTTCACGTGAATGAGGATCATCTGATTAAAAGTAAGAAGAGTTTGCAGATAGATAAACGAGAGAGACGTCTCATTCTTAGTCATCTTTCGTTCCATTCAGTCACAAGACAAACCCATTTGCATCTTTCGATATGTTACAAAGGAGACCCAACAACACAAACCAGGACAAGGCAGACTATTACGTGATCGCTCAGACAATGAAATCCCGCGTGCGGTTCCCGTGGAGTCGACGCCTTCCTTCCCGCCGCCCGCTTCTCCTTCCGAACAGGCGAGCTGTCCTTGCGGCGCCCTCGGCCCCCGCGGCGCCCGGAAGGAGCGGCGCGTGGGCTTATAAGGCGGGCGGGCGAGGGGCGTTTCGTAAACAAACTGCTGCAGCGAGTGTAAAGACTTTCGTTTTTCAATGGAATGGAACAAGAAAAAGAAAGACGGAGGAGGAAATCTACCCATTTGCTTGCATCGTGCGTATATAAATATATATATATATATATATTATATATATATATATATATATATATATATATATATTTATATTACATGTGTGTGTGTGTGTGTGTGTGTGTGTGTGGTGTGTGTGTGTGTGTGTGTGTGTGTGTGTGTGTGTGTGTGTGTGTGTGTGTGTGTGAGAGTGAGAGAGAGAAGAGAGAGAGAGAGAGAGAGAGAGAGAGAGAGAGAGAGAGAGAGAGAGAGAGAGAGAGAGAGAGAGAGAGAGAGAGAGATACGAACGTGCGTCGATTGTCACTTCAAAAGAAGAGAAGGGAAGGGGATGGGCGAGAGAAAGGTGTAGGGGAGTGAGTGAGGGAAGAAGTAAGAAGAAGGGGAGAAAAGGAGGAGAAAGAGAATGAGAAGGTGAAGGAGAAGGAAAAGCGAAAAAGAGGAGGGGGGGGGGGGGGAGGAAGCTCCCCAACGGGCGCCGGGTCCCGGGACCGGTTTGTTTACGTCTTGCTGCCCGGTGATAAGGAATGTTGCACACGTGTTGCCATACCTCATGCAGGCCTCCGCCCGGCCAGGCGACATGGCAATACTGCCTATGACGACTCTCATAATGAGTGCGAGGACGGCGAAGGCGGCGGCGCGGGAGGCGATGCTATCGACCCCGTGATGAACGGCGAGGCTTCGCGGGAGATGCAGCAGGATCGTCAAAAGGCGCCAATTTATCTCGCTTATCTCGGGACGGGTTTGCTGTGTTCGAACGGCGTGATTCGGGCGTGTTCGAACGAAGTGGCTCGCAGAAGCCATGCAGTCAGAAGGTGCTCGCGAATGGGAAAAAGTCTGGGAGATCGTCTCCTCCATTAGCTTCCTGCATCTGATTTGCTTTTATCAAACGCTGGCATCGCCGACAGACTTCATTATCTTCTGTATTTGATTTACTTTTATGAATGGCATCACACACGGAGATAGCGATTCCTGCTTTTCTCTGGAGAGCGTTTCTGCTGTTAATAAACCCAATATAATTTCCCCGACGCATCTCGATGCCTCCATGATAACAATCCATTACTCTTTGCTTCCCATAAACATGC